TTACCAACAAAAATATGTATGAATTTTTCACATTTTAATATCATATGACTTATATAAAATCATAAGGATAAAAATGTAAATTATTAATATAACTCTTTTCTCTCTTCTGAACCAAACACATTTTTAATTAAAATTCCTCTTTTTTCCTCCCCTCCACCCTTTTGAACCAAACACTTATTTGATTAAAAAAATTCATTCACCTCCCTTTCCCTTCATTAAAATCTCTCTCTCTCTCCTCTCCCCCTCATTTGAATCAAAAAGACCTTAAAGAGATCAATTATTATATACTATTAGTAGAGATTTTTTTTACTTAGTTAATTCATCATTATCATTCGTTTGTATTATTTTATAGATAATTAAAATAAAAATCAAATTTTTTCCTAAGAATCAACGTTTATGATTAATTGATTATGTAATCTGAATACATTTCAATTAAATCTTTATTATTAAATCAAAATTATACACATTCATAATTAACATTATTTTAACCAAAAAAAATTACTATTTCAATTTTCATTTGAAAACAGTATTGTTATTATTTACACCAATAAATGATTATCATAATTTAACAAAATGATTTACTTTTCAATTTTTTTAATATGCGCGTAGAAAGATTACAAAGAGATGGATGAATTACAAAGTTGTTCTTAGAAATATGAATTTCATGGTGACCCACATCTTCACATAATAAAATCAATGTGCCGCTAGACTAGCGGATTATGGTTAATCTTGTAATAGTTTAACTTATTTGGATTCATAATGCTCATAAATAAACATTATATATATATATATATATATATATATATATATATATATAAACATTATATATATATATATATATATATATATATATATATATATATATATATATATATATATATATATATATATATATATATATATATATATATATAATAAGAGAAAATAGTATATGCACTAAGAGCATCTTTAGTGAGAGCAAACTAAAATATTTTTTGTGGGCCTAAAGTGATTTGTAGGATTTAAAATATTTATAGTTGATTTGAGTTGTTTTTACTTTAATGATAGTTGCTTGTAAAAAATCAAAATTTGACCCCACATTTTATATTTTTTACATTTTTTAATGATGGTTGCTTGAAAAAAATATATAGCCGTTGAATTAGAGCGGTTGGGACTTTATTGATATTTTAATAATATAAAATAATAATCAGAGTCATTGAAATTTGATAGTGTGCGTTGGTTATATAGTTGCCAAAAACTAATTGTTAGTTCACTTACTGCCATGTCATTCTTATTTCAATGCAAATTGTTTATAACTACCGCTACTATTAAAAATTTTAATACTACAGAACCTGCACTAAAGATGTTCTAATGTATTCATTCAATGAACGATGTGTATTCTCCTACATCATATTACTGACAATTTAAAATAATTTAGATGATTTGATAGATAAGTGATTTCCTATTAAATGTCCATGTAAAATTTCTCTACATTAACGGTGCATGTCCATTAAACTTATAAAATAATTTTTAAAAAGCTTATAAAATCCTATAAAAGATATTTCTTCCAAAGAGAAAAACAATAAATCATACACATCTCACATAAAATGTTACTTTCGAGGGATTACACCACATGCAAATATTACATTTGAGATTCAATCTTTCATGTGTTCCATTCATCTCTCTTTATGTGTGCATTGTGCTTAATACGGAGGTGCATTAAATGGAACAAAAGGGTTTTTAAAAAAGATGAAAAACTATAAATTGAATTTGTGATAAACGGAATCCTTATTGAGTGAAGCTGTTTTTGTTTACATCATATCATGCCTTTATATAGGCAATTAAATCTTAACCCAAAACTACAGAGTGCAAAATATAAAACTACAAGTTATACTTCGACATTATGTTGTATTCGACTATGTCGAATACATCTGACTCATACTATTTCCACACAGTTGAATGCTAACTTTCTACAAAACTATGCATTACAACTAACACACAATCTAATTCATATTTTCGATACTTCTCATCCCAATGTAATTTTTTAAACTTGTCGAACCTGACTTTCTTCAAGGGTTTGGTGAGTATATCAGTTAGTTGACATTTTGTCTTGCAATGCTCAAGTTCATACTTTCCTTTATTAACTTGATCCCTAAGAAAATGATACCTTATCTTTATCTGTTTACTTCAACCATGACATACTGGATGATTTTCCATGTCGATAACTAACTTGTTGTAGACAAACAACTTCATTTTTCTAGGTTTCATTATCTTGAGATCTTCGAGCAACATCTCTATCCATACTGCTTGACAAACTGCATATGATGCAACCACGTACTCAACTTTAGAAGATAGCAAAGCCACAATACTTTGCTTCCTTGAGCTCCATGAGATTAATGCATCTCTAATCATGAATGTGTAGCTTGCAATACTCTTCTTCTCATCTTGATCTCCACTAAAATCTGAATCAGCGTAGCCATATACCTCGGCATCTGTGTTGGTATTATTTTTTCTCGGCATCAACACACCATGATCAATTGTACCTTTTATGTACCTTAGCACTCTCTTGTCTACTGTTAGATAACATTCTTAAGGCTTTTCCATGAATTTTCTCAACAATCCGACACTTTGACAAATGTCTGGCCTAGTATTGCAAAGATATCTCAAGGATCCAATGATTTGGTTGTACAGTGTTACACTTACAAACTCATCATTTGTTTCTTTTCTCAACTTTGCTCCAATTTCTAATGGCGTTACAGTTTCTCATCTTGAACTTCTTCAAGATATGTTAGGCATACTTCTTCTGATGCATAAACACTTATTCACTTGTGTCTTTAAATTCCATCCCTAAGAAATATGATAAATCCCTAGGTCATACATTTCAAACTCCTGCATCAGCTTCAACCCGACTCTTTTTATCTCTACTTCATTTGCACCTGCAATCAACAAGTCATCTACATACATGCATAAGATGACTAGAATGACCCTGTCTAAATCATCGACATACACTCCATGTTCAAAGACGCACTTTGTGAAACCTTCTCCGATCAAAAAGCTATTTATTATCTTATTCCAATTTCTTAGGGCTTGCTTCAAACCATAGAGATCCTTTCTCAATATGTACACCTTTGTCAGATTCTTTTCTAACTTCATGTTGTACCCTTTTGCGAGTAATTGACCTACGCGTATCAAGTTACTTGTCATCGAAGGTACATACAACACATCAATGATGTTGCATTTTCGACCATCCTTTCTAACAACAAAGATATCTCATTTTCTACCTGATGTGACGTGTCTTTTATCTGCATACTTTATCACTTTATCAACTGATTCATCTAGCTTGGTGAACCAGTTTTTATTACCAGTAATGTGGTTACTGTATCCTAAATATATATATCACATGTTAGTTTTCTCAGTGTTCGACTGAGTGTTGGCCATGAGTATCACATCATCAGAATCATTATCTTTAACATGTGCATATTGCATTTTATCGCTATCTTTCGCTCGTACTTTTTTCTTTCTTCAATAGTCTCAAGCTTACTGGCCAAATCCTTGACAGTTATAACAATTGCACCTCCTTCATGTCAACTTTCTTCTCAGAATACTTATTGCTTGTGTCTTTCTTGATTAAATCATAGTGATTCTTTGAGTTATTCCTTGACTTCTCATCATTAGCAAGATTCTTTCTCTGTTTCTCTTTCTCTTTCCCAGATTTCTTGATGAATCTTACTTGCAGTGCTTGTTCAACTACCTTCTCCCTTTTTGAGTTTCTTTGCTTCAACCCCATCTCAACACTTTCTCAATCTTCTGCAAATCGTTGATTGATTCACCACACGCATTCATCTGATTTGTTAACAACACAACACGTGAAAGGTATTCTGAGACTGATTCATCTTCCTTCATCTAAATCATCTTGAATTGCTTCCTCAACTTCTGCAACTTCACCCTTTTCAGTTTTTCACCTCTGCCGTATAAGTTCTTCAACTTGTCCCACGCTCATTTGATAGTTTCTTCTTCAATTATCTTCTCAAACACGTTAGGATCCACATATTGATGAATCAAGAATAGAGCATTCTCATATTTCTTTCTTCGTTTCTTGTGCGCAACTTGTTGAGCATCGTTCGCATTCTCTTCCAATGCAGGGACTCCATCGTTCACGATTTCAACCACATCTTAAAATCTGAAGATGACTTTCATCTGTACAACCCATCGTTTGTATTTCTCCTCTTTGAAAACCGGTAGATTTACTGAAAATTGCGTTGATGTTGTGTTTCCTTTTGCCATTATAGATTCTCTCTGGATCGCAACTAGAACTCCTTAATACTGATTTGTTGAAACAAAAGGATTTTTAAGAAAGATGAGAGAAGAAGAGAGAAAAATTGTAAATTGAATTTGTGATTAGCGGAATCCTTATTGAGTGAAGTTGTTTTTGTTTACATCATACCACGCCTTTTATATAGACAATTAAAACTCAGACTCAAAACTTACAAAGTGCAAAATATAAAACTACAAGTTTACTTTGACATAACTATTGTATGTTGTATTCGACTCATTCGAATACAACCGACTCCTACTACTTCTACTAGAAACTTCTATTCTATATAGTTTCAGTTTTGATATAAGTAAACTACAAGATTGCTTTCCGCGTCTCGGGTATGTGTTTGTCTTTTGACAGAAGATTTAATATTGTGTTAGGTCCTTTGTAGTTGGCAACCAAAAAAAGAACATTGGAAGGTACTGGCAGCATTACAATCTGATCAAATATAAAGATCACACCTCTGCTATGCTAGCATATCTCTCTTATGAATCTGTATGATGTCAATGTTCTTTTTTAGCGAATGTGTTTGTACATCATATATTCCAGTAAGTAAATGTAAGTAAATTTTAGGCATTTCCTAGACTATGCATCTTGAAAATGAGACACAAAAGACATAAAATTCTGATATTTACAAAATTTCTGTCGCATCTATTTGTAATGAAAATAAACAAAAGAGTTACAAGTTTCTGCAATTTATGAAATCTTAAGAGCTCTGTAGTTGGACATGATCATTTGCTGGCTTCAAATACTTCCAAAGGTACCTTCCACTGGCCATGTCAATGAGTGCCCATAATCCATTCTTGATCATCTGTAATCAAAATAACATTTCTAGTCAGCACAAGAAGCAAAGTAAACAAGAAAAGGAGGAAAGTGCAAAATAGGATGTTGAATTGTATAAAAAAAATGTGGAATTGAGATTAGATTACCTTTATGATACTGAAGTTATCTTTATCTGAGGAGGATTTATCTTTATGGTTGCCAGAAGTGAAATCAATCTCCAGAGTGGTGGAGCTCATGGTGGTCCAGGCCAAATAAGCGGCCAGCACGGCAGAAAAGAAGATCAATATGAACCTTAGTGGACACATTTCTTCCAATTCCAAGGCAACAAATTCAAGAATTGTATAGTAAATTTAGAATTTATGTATGTATTTTGAGATGATAGAATGATGAGGTTGAGTTGTTTTTATATGATCTATTAAAGGAATAAGTAAAAATAAGGAAAAGCGCGTTGCATAATTGCTTTGTCTTCGTCTGGACTTTTCTTTGGGTATATAAAGTTGACCTTAAGAAACATAATCAAAGATGACTCTTTCTCTTTTGCAAAATGTTTGATTGTGTCAGTTGATCTTGATGTTAAAATAAGTCAAAAATATCAAAATTGCTTATACATCGAACCATTGAGTTATGTAGATTATGGGCAAATGTAAATTTATTTATTAAATCAAAATTATATTCATTTCATAATTAACATAGTTTAACCAAAAAAAAATAGTATTTCAAATTTCAATTTAAAAACAGTATTATTCCTTTTTTTTACACCAATAATCAATTATGATCATTTAATAGAATGATTTACTTCACTTTTTTAAATATATGCGTGGAAATTTTAAATAAGATTTATTTAATAAACATAGGAATGAATTACAAAATTGTTCTTAGAAATATGAATTTCACGGTGACCCACATTTTCAATCAAGAAAATTAATGTGCATATAGAGACATTTAAGAGTGTATTGTTGAAATCTTGGATCATAGACTTAATATTACATAGGTTTAAATTATTATTTAATTAGTTAAAACTATAATAATTTAATTAATATTAAATAAAAATATAAATATTATAAAAGTAAGACTATTGTATAGATATCATAAATCAATATCTAATTTGATGAGGAGACAAATTATAATATTGAAAACTAAGAAATAATTTGGATTATGATCCCCATTTGTAGATCGATTGAAATAGTTGGTTTATTAGAAATCTCTTTTCATCCACATCTGAAGAGAGGAACTCTGAGGAATGTTAGTGCGTGAGGCACTTTTAATGAGAAGAGAAAGAGAGAGAATAAAGAAATAAGGATTTTTTGAATGAATTGTTATGAATAATAGTACATATAATGACTATTTATATACAACCTTAATTGGGCTTGGGTTAACACAACTTAGATTATATTTAAATATTAAATCAAATCAAATCAAATCAAATCAAATATTTCAACATACCCCCATAATCCAAGTTGTCGAACATATGCTAATCATAGTCGATCTGAACTATTCCTAATTTCTTTCTCAATTCAAGAATCTGTCGATCTTCAATCATTTGGTGAAAATATCGGCCAATTGTGCTTCACTTGAGCGTTGTCTAACTTCAAGTTCACCTCGATTTACCTTTTCCCTTAAGAAGTGAAACCTAGCTTCGATATGCTTACTTCTTCCATGCAGATCTGGATTCTTCGCCAGATTTATGACAAACTTGTTGTCAATTTGCAACACAAGAGGTTTCTTCACTTCGACCTCCATTTCTTCAAGTACCGATCTGATCCAAATTCCTTGACATGCAGCATATGATCCTGCTATATATTCAACTTCACATGATGATAATGCCACCACAAGTTGCTTTCTCAAGCACCATGAAATTGGGGCACCAAATACTTAAAAGAAATATTTAGTAGTGCTTCTTCGATCTTCCTTATCTCTGCACCAATCAACATCTGAATAACAAGTAACCATAGCTTCTTTGCTTTCAGAGTCTCGTCAAAATAAAATTTCATAGTTTGTCGATCCTTTTAAGTATCTCAAGATTTTTTTTGCAGCCTTCATGTGTGACACTGTTGGTTCACTCATGTATCTGCTCACTAATCTGACTGAGAAACATATATCAGGTCGACCGTTGCACACATATCTTAGAGATCTGAAAATCCGTTTAAACAAAGTTACATCGACTTTGTCTTTCTCTCCATGTTTCTCCAACTTTAAATTTGGTTCGATAGGTGAAGATGCAGGAGCCGAATCATCCATTCTGAATCTCTTGAGCATCTCTTTGACATACTTTCTTTGATGTAGCACCATGCCTTGCTTCGAAATTTAAAATTCCATGTCTAGGAAGTATGACAAATTTCCCAGATCTGACATTTCAAATTCCTTCTTCATCAGCTCTTTGAACTTCTACAAGTTCTTCAGGCTATTTCCAGTTACTAGCAAGTCATCGACATATAAGCAGATTATTGTTATATCTTGTGCCACAACTTGAACATAGATACCATACTCAGATTTATATTTTACGAATTCCATTGTTCCATGCCTTAGGTGTCTGCTTGAGACCATAAAGTGCTTTGTGCAACTTGTTAGGGGAGATTTTCACTATGGAGTATTGAACATTGTAGGACTTCCTTTTCTAGAGTAACACCTTTGTGAGAGACACACCACATATTCACCCAAAACCTTAAAGTGATAGGTGTGTGGGTTCTCCCTCTTATAAATGCTCAAGTCACCATATTCCTATCCAGTGTGGTACTATTATCCATATTACTCACACTTATTATACTTAACACTCCCCCTCAAGTGCGAGTCTATCCATAATACCCCCTTAAGCGGAAGCTTCAACTGTGTAACTGCACTTTTTGTTGTGTGTTTCTTGCTTACAACCCTTGTACCGTTGTTGACACTCTTCAATGGGACACCTCCTAACCACCACCTGTGGGGAGTACTTTTGATACAAGTGAGTCGGTCCTTCACTCGAACCAAAGGCTCTAATACCATGTTGGGAGAGATTTTTACCAGGGAGCATTGAACATTGTGGAACTTTTCCTTCTTAGAGCAACACCTTTGTGAGAGCCACACCAGATACTCACCCCAAACCTTAAGGTTTTAGGTGAATATGTGGTGTTTCTCTCACTCGTATTGCTCTTCACCCAATGTTCAATACTCCCTAATGATAAAACCCCCTAAGGGCATGAAAGGGAGATTGTTGGGAAATAAGTGTTGTTAAGTATAAAAAGTGTGAGTAATATGGATAATAATCTCACATTGGATAGGAATGTGGTGACTTGAGTATTTATAAGTGGGAGAACCCACACACTTATCACTTTAAGGTTTTGAATGAATATATGGTGTGTCTCTTACTTATGTTGATCTTGACCCAACGTTGATGCTTCTTCTCATACTCCAATAGTGATATCATGAGCCTTTAGTTCAAGTGAAGAATCGGAGGTGTCTCGTTGAAGACTGTCAATGGCGGTGCAAGGGTGGTGAGCAAGAAACACACAACAGAAAGTGCAGTTGCACAGTTGAAGCTTCTGCTTAAGGGGAACATTGTGAAAGCATTATGGATAGACTCACACTTGAAGGGGAGTGTTAAGTATAACAAGTGTGAGTAGTATGGATAATAGTCCCACATTTGATAGGAATGTGGTGACTTGAGCATTTATAAGTGGGTGAACCCACACACTTTTCACCTTAATATTTTGAGCAAATATGTGGTATGTCTCTCACAAAGATATTGCTCTAAAAGAAGAAGTCTCACAGTGTTCAATGCTCCCTAATGGAAAAAAAAACTCCCCCAACAGTAGAAACTCTACAAATCGAAAAATCACATACCGCAAACCTTCAACGATTTCAACAACACACTTATGTATGCTTCCACTTTCATTCTCTGATTGAATTCTGGTATGGGTTTAAGGGATGTGAGTCAATGACATATTTGACTAATAGGAATTAGTGTAGAGTTATGTTCTTGATTTCTATATCGATAGAAATCATAAGATTATAAACAGATCCAACAAGTGATGAATGAGCAAGTCTTCAGACAGCTCAAGCTTTAGTGCCTTAAGTTTTGAAACAATGTTTGACAATGCCCATAATGTATTCCTTTATATTTCCTTTTCGTTGATACTTCATGGAAATTAATTTCTTAGGAAGAGTATTTTCTTATCGCTTTTCTTGAAACACTTTTCAATCTCAGCATGAAAATTTTTGGCATTTGTTATTTCTTTTGATATAGTACCCTTAAAGATCCCAGGAATGTCACGCTTAATAATCATGAGACTAATGCGATTGGAGCGGTCACTTCTCATAGTCTTTCCTTTATTCAGAGTGAAATTCTGGTATGTAGATCTCAAATGTCTTGAGAGATGTCGAGATACTTGATCTCTGCTAAGAACAATGATAAGAAGCAGCACAATAAAAACTTACAGAAAGTAAACAAACACACAGTAATTGTTAAACCAGTTCGGTGAACAACAACACCTACGTTTGGGGGCTACCAAGCCAGGAATGAAATCCACTAGATAGTATTAATTATAAGCTAAACAACCTCCAGTTTACAACTTATCACTTAATCACTACTCGTGCTTAATTTCTACCTAAGACTTTTCCTAGGTATGAGACCCTTCTCAATTCCCTTTCAATCACAGCAGTGACATAAATTACAACTCAATGTAAACAGTCCAGCTCAAGAATAAACACGATACAAGAGAGGCTTACAAACCCTAAACACACTAAGCAACAAAGTATGTTCCACACTTTTCTTAGGTTAAATCCATCCTATTCATAACCATAAACTAGACTGGATTTGGGCTTCAAAAACGCAACAATTATGTTACACAAAATCTGCAACTGATTCTCCAAAAGAATAGTTTCTTCAATCCAAAGTTTTCTAAAGTGACTGCACACTTAGAAAACGACATCTTCAGATTCCTACATAATCTCTAATTCCTCAATCTTCGAATGCCACCTAGGATAAACAAATATTCCCAGAATAATCTCAAATCTAGAAGTAAAATATCATAATAAAAAACTAAAAAGTAACAGACAAAGATGTCGAATCATCGTGATAGGACATCTTGTCTAACATCTTGATCTTCTGTTAGTTCTTCATGTTAGAACATCTTGTCCAACATCTAGCTGTCAAGTTAGTTTTACCAAAATTGATGTCAACCTAAAAAGCTTGGACTCATCAATCTCCCCCTTTAACAGATTTTGGCTAAAACTAACTAAATAACCCTTGCAAGTGGAAACACAAAGTCAAAGGCCAAAAATCAGAACAACAGCGGAAAAACTAAAACACTCTAAAGCCTCCCCCTTAATC